CGGCATCTCATGCCTTCTACCACTGTCCTCAGGTGCGCCCTTTCTGGGACTATATCGGCAAGTTGATGGCTCGTATCGCTCCCGATCAACTTGTAACTATCGATCTCGCGTACACGTGTGACAATGCGTCGGACCTGTTCTCCGGGGTGAAACGGATGGTGTTTCTCACGTTGCTAGCCGTGGCAAGAATAGTGGCATGGACGTCGCGAATGGAGGGAATCTTGCAATATGAGCATTAATCTCATTAAGATCTGGTTGAATTCTTTGAGTATCAGCTCAGAATGAAAATCAAATCTGATAGAAATCTTTTGATGTCGACAGAATTCGGCGAAAGGTGGGTATCTATTGCGAGCCTGGTTCGTATGAACGGGACTAGCCTTGATTTTTTCTTTAAAGTCCCCTTGAGGGGCGGTTTCCTGTGAACCCCCGGCATTCTCTTGTGTTATTATCCATGTCGAGATTCCCACACTCCCCAGTTTGTTTTGTCCCCTTTTTTCTCGGTTTGTTATTTATTTTTTATCCTTCCTACTCCATTAGTGAGTGTGCTTCTTGATTCTGTCTATCGGCAGAATACAGCGGCCGTTCTTATTATTTTGAGGAGTGGACGGGTCTATTTTGTTTTAGTTTGTTTTCTTGTACTCTTTTGTTTTGGAGTTCATTCCCTCTTCCATCATTTCATGTGTCATGAATTTTTTTATATATTTTTGGAAGAAAAAAGAAAATTAGGAAAAAAAGTGACATTAAAGATTTATTAAATTTGTACATCATGGAGTGTTTTTGTAGCCCCCCTCCCCTGTGAATATGTGGTATTGTGGTATATGTAGGATTGAGATGGGATGGGCAAGTTCTTATGGTGATCGGTTATATTGTAATGAATGAATGGGTCGTGATTGTGATTAACTAGGACTAGGATAGTCAGCGACGACCAGCCTTTCCCCACTTCTCCTTCGGCCTTGTGCCATAATTTTTGTAACTTCACAAAAATAAATATACATTGCATATAGATTGGAAATCAATTCAAAGCGTGCAACTATGAGAACGATCAGGATTAATATTATGGAATGTTATAAGGTAACTTAAAGTTTGGCGATAGATACTTAATAGTATGGAAGATATTATGAAACAGAAATATGAGACAAGCTTTGAAGTGTCTCATTAAAATGCAAAATGAATATGTACGAACATCACATTCTGTGATGCAGTTTATCCACTGGGGAAAATCTATTCAGCTTTTGATAAATGTGTTCTATCGTTTAGCTTATAAGTAGGACATAAGCTGATTAAAGTCATGTGTGGCTTACCTATAAAAAGCCAACCAAACTAGCCTTTAATGATTCTGTTTAATTACTGCATTGAAGTTATCACTTTATAAAGCATATTCTAAACTGGTAAAAAGTTTACGATGCTATGTTTCTGATGTTACGATATTTTAAAATCTGGCATAACAACCTTTACAATTCTGGCTTTTCTTCGATAAGTTAAATTCCGTAACTTCCTGCTACAAATTAGAGAACTATTTGTAATTCTATTCAAATATATTTGGTTTCTGTTGAAACTTGACTAATGCATGGAATAATAATACAACACAAAATGTACTTAGAACAAAATGTATTGAAACAAGAAAGTGTATACAATATTTACATATAGTCTTTTGTATATTCTTGGGAAGACCGTTCCTGGAGAATGTGTTGACTTAGTCGCAGTCGGGCAGAGTCTCTGGATTGAATCTCTTGATTCCTCCCCTCGTCTTCCCGGTACTAACCATATTTATATGGTCGGTACTCCACTATGCAAATTAGGTGGATCCTACCACAACAGTTTCTTTGAGAGATTAAACCATGCTACTAGCTTTCTTGCTTTCAGTAACTTTATTTTCTGATAGTCAAGTATTGACTACTCGTCAAAATTATACATTTCATTCTAAATATTGATTACTCTCATCAGACATCAGTTTTTATGATGTGATGAATTTGAAAAAGAACAAAAATGAAAGAATTAACTGGCTCTTTTTAATTGCAACCTAATTCAGAAGAATACTTACTTTTACGGCGTAAAAAGTTATTATAAAGGTTTTAATAAATCGATCTGGGTGCAAGCAACGGTAACGATATTTATTGCTACTGATCAGTTAACAAACACCAAAGATTATCTGACATGTTTTGTTGGACAATTTGCAAATGACTAAAATCAGCTCATAATAATATATATATATGTGATATGAAAAACTTAGAAAATACGGTCTCCAGACTTGAAAAAAAATGGCCCAAATATGTTCAGGGATGGTCCCCGTTAGGCTCCATCCCTCCTTATATATGATCTTAAAACTTACCTATCCTAAAGACGTCAGCGATAGTGTCACGGACGGTCGGATAACGGAACAGATATCGGAACTGAAATTTTTTACAGATTTTTACAATGATATGATTGCTCATCACATATTATCAGTATATTTATCATTGATGCCTTTAGCTGTTGTTAATTCCCCTCTCCAAGTTCTCCACTGCCTTAACCGAGTATTGAACTCACATGGTACAATGGTTGGATCCAGTGACAGGACCCAAAGATTGTGAGTTCAATACTCGGTTAAGGCAGTGGAGAACGTGGAGAGAGGAATTAATAGGAGATAACTGATAACTGACATCCATTAAAAATGGCACGTGAAACTAGAACAGTCTACCCCAGTGAGCGAAATAAAGGGTTCAGTTCGACTCCAACCACCTGAAGAAGGCCGGAGTGTACAACGGCCGAAACGTTGTAATAAATATGGCGACAAAGATGAGAACAATGGTCCGAATAATGTAAATAGTGTACATAATACTCCATCTCAGAAATATAGACAGATACAGAACTGAATAAATTTTATGCTAATGTTTGAAAATAAAACGTTATAAGTTTTATATGAGGATATTTGTTTTTAGAATGTCAGTAAAAATGTATTGCTAATTTGCATCAAATAATTTTTAGCATAAAATGCAAAAATAATTTTTAAATGATTCATAATTTTTATATTGAAATACATGAAAAAATGTATAAATTTCAAACGTACAGTACGTGGATAGATACGAGAGGTCAAAAAGCTCTTCTCCAAAAATCTGTTGTTTGATCAGATTTTACGAAGAAAGTTGGGCCGAGGTCTGTTCAATACTCTTTGCGTGTATATATATATATATATATATATATATATATAGTCGACTCTCCCGTCGATTTCGACGTATGAAGGTCAAGCAGATCAGTTTCCAGGAAACCGGCATCCCAACAACGACACATGAGATTTGATTATAGTGGTGAAGGCTTCGTGCAGGACCATCCACACTTTTTGAAGGGGCGAATACAGAGACCTGGTGCACTAAGTGCCACAAGGTTCCCAAACGACCCTCCACAGGTTTTGAATTCAGAGTTGTCCTTTTCTAGTTGCCATCCAAGGCTATAGATTCCAGTCTGTCCTGCTATGGGTAAAATAGCAGGACAGACTGGGTTTATATATATATATATATATATATATATATTAAACATTGTTAAACAGTATATCTATTATGTTATACCAGCCTGAATATTCAAGAAATCTTATTAAATCAAAATATCCTACATTAATGAGATTTCTGGACTATTCAGGCCGGCGGCAGAAGATAATAAATATACTGTTTAAACAAAAACCGTCTACTCAAATATGGATATCTGCTAAAATAATATTTAAGTGATAAAAATCTGTAGGATTAATAAATAAAATATCCATTACTTCTTTAGAAAAACAAATATATATATATATATAGACATACATACATACATACATACATAGGTGATGGTGTGTTACAAGATGATTTCAATTTGAATGAGAATCTGGAGGAATGGTAAATATATGACAATTTGAAAAACATTTATGCTGACATATATACCGGATGTAACAGCAGAATTGTACAGATCGTATAACAGTGAGGAAATTGTTCAACTGTTAGATTAAAACTTCGAAACATTGTAGAAATGATATCTTACTGGAATTCTCCGAGGTTTTTATAACATTATTGCTCTCTACTTTGAGCAATAAGAATATATAATTACTCTCAAAGCTTAACAGAAGAACCATGATGAAATCGATTATAATCGAATATTACATGTTCATCATTAATTAATCATAGCTAAGGATGGGAAGCTCATAAAGGATTTAAATAAAGTACAAAATATATATATATATATATATATATATATATATATATATATATATATATTATTCCAGGATCATTTGCCAACTTGTTCAAGATGATCTTAGCCCTCTCTAACCTTCCAGTTTTCTGTCCTGGAGTAACAAGGTTCCACACACGTTTCACGTACAATTTTCATTTTTTCAAGTCTTTATTTCACTACTCTTTGGACTGTCATAACTGAAACTCCTCTCTCACATGCCAAATGTCTTATGAATTGAATTGTATCTTTTCTAATTGATCTCTTTAGCTCTAAGTTGAAATGATATTAACCTGTTCTCTTCCTAGCTGAATAACTCAGAGTTTTTCAGTGATTCTTAGGACAAATGGTATCAAGACGGTTAAATGTCTTATCTGAAAACCTGGAAAAAGGAAATTCAATTAGTTTGGTGTTTTTTAGATATTAAACATTTTTATCATGCTGTAATACGATTTGAACAATTTTGATGTTATACCCGGTATATATATATATATATATATATATATATATATATATATATATATATATATATATATATATATAAAAATAAGCAAAATGCATACAATATTCAATGTTAAATAACCAAACAATGCTCGACATATCGTAATTTCAACCAACTTACATACATATTAATCAAATAACAAAGTGATGTTCCAAAAATCACCAGCAATTGTATCCTTTTGAAAAAAAAGTAATTATTTCTCATTACAGGTGCTACTATAATTAACTGTTTTATTTTCACTTTACCCTTAAATTAAAACCTGTTTAAATAACTGTCTCGTGCATTGATAATAATAATAATGATTCACTTGGTACTTTTTCAGACGTGCAAGAATTTTATCATTGTTCTGAGCAACCCAGACAACGGTGCGAGAATTGGAGAAAGAAGTGCAGTGGTTTGCTTCATGAATAACGGTTAGCCAATCCCTAGTACTTATTACGGTTGGTTTGGGATAATGGACAATCTATGAAGCGTTCTTAATAAATTCCTCCACGGTAGTTATAAGAGGAGAATGCAAATTAAAACTTTTTTTCGTGACACAAAAAATTTAGTGATATGAATATTAACCTTAATCATATCCACCATTTTCTAGCTCGAAACAAATCTAACCTCTTTGATCACTCCGTTCTACAAATTTGTCTCTATTAACGGATTATTTTGAATTATTTAACAATGTCAACACAGCCTTGTTTTTGAAAGTCAAGAACAATTATAAAATGTTTGGTAAATTGGGATTCTGCTATTCGTTCATGCTTAGATGTAATCGTAAATTCTATGCTAACAGCTTCTTTTCTCACACTTCTCGCTTGTGGAACTCACTTCTGGCTCCATGCTTTCCAGTAAACTTTAATCTGCAAAAGTTTAAATGCAATGTCAATCGCTATCTACTGTCCTCCTGATTACTCTTTCCTCTCCCCGCTCATTAATAATGTTTCTGTTCCTAATTCTTCCACACTCTGTAACCTCTTGTGTCTTAGTGGCTTTACTGCCTTGCAGGGAGTGATACCGATTAAAAAAAAACTTTTGCAATCAACATGTTGGATATTATCACCTCTTCAGATGGAAGATGGGCACTATTAAATCTTCATCCCCTCATTTTCTTATTCCTGGTAATAATATTTTTATATCACGTCCTTTCAGGATATGGGCAATCATAACTCTCCACAAACTGTGAATTGCCATGACTTCTTGTGAATATATTTTGCGTTACCTTTTTCACACTTTATGATTCCGAGTAGTCCCTTTCATAGACTACTAAGCTAAAGAACCCCATTTCGCCTACTAGGCAAATAGGGCATGAAATTGATTCATGCGTTTTCCAGGAGTATCAGTGAGAAAATGAACGCAACAGATTGATTTAGGATTTGAATTTGGCTTCCACTTTGTTACCCACGCCTCCTCCCTAAAATGATAATTACTCTTCTAAAAAATGCCGACATAAATATGATGTAAGTTTGTTTTATTTTAACTTTTTTTTACATTTCTTGTATGTCATACATAGTCAATCCTAAGGATGTCGTCATCCTAACAAAAATGCTAGTCTGGTGCTCCTGCTGTACATCTCGAGATTCTTGACAAAATTCAAAGAAGAATCTGTAATGTAATCGATCCTGACCTGACATCTTGACTTCATTCGCTTTCTCACCAACGTCACATCGCTTCTCTCTGTCTTTTCTACAAATATTTTCATGACAACTGCTCTGATGAGTTTTTCCCCCATGGTGCTCCGACTACATGAATTTAAGCGTGCTACTAGATTCGCTTTACTGTTGGAGTAACTAGATGCAACCATCACTTCTAATCTAACAGTTTCTTTTCTCACACTTCATACCTGTGGAACTCCCCTCCGATTTCGTGTTTCTCCGATAACTACAATCTTCAAAAATTTAAATGCAATGTCAATCACCACCTTCTATCTTCTTGAACCCTGTTTTTTTTTTTTTTTTTTGTCCTTTCCTCAATCCCCCTCATTCTTTGTCTTTTCATTCTCTTTCACTTCCTGTAACCCCTCCTGTGATCTAGTGGCATTATCGCCTTGCTTGGGGTGAAACGATTAAATATATATATATACTTCATTTAAAAAAGAGATTCCTATAAATTACGACTTTGAACATCTATATGGGTTTTTATGGCTCATCAATGCCCATGAGCTAATTAAAGTAGATTTTTGTAGTATTAACTATGCATTTTCAAAAATCTAAAGATTTTCCATATCCGTGCATGGCGGAGTGAACTGGTACCCTCCCTCTCAACTGCCAGAAATATTCGAGTTTTAAAGTTAACAGATTAAACAATTTCTTCGTGTAACTATCATTATATTTATTTATTGAGTTTGTTATAAACACTTTTTTATTGTCTTGTGTCTTGTCAGTTTTTAAACAAGTTTGTTTCTTTTTCCCCAGATGAATTGGCACATCATTTAGGAGAAGCAATAGAAGACGAAGAAGAGGAAGAATTGTCTTGGTTAGAACAATTCACTGCGTATGTGTAATCTTAAATAATTTGTATCATACACTATCATTATATCTATATTAGTTTCAGTGGCTTTGACAATAATATTTATTTTACGAATAAATTCAAACCAAAGAAAAATGTCTATTTTGTTCGTGTAAAATATGGACATAAATTAGTGTAAGAATCTGAAAAGTTTTATGTTCTCTGAAAAAAAAAAGATAGATCTTTTCACCAACGAAATCATTCCAAAAATTTATTCTTGAAATTAATTTTTATAGGGCCATGGAAGTTGGTGGTTCTTCCGATGCAGAAATCAAATCAGAACTTATGTGGTATGATTATTTACTCCATTTTCTTACCTTCTGCTGGAAAGTCATTTTCGCTGCTATTCCACCGACGTAAGTAAAATGATTATAAATAGCTGTTATTTTCTCTTTACTCTTACAGACTCACATGAATCAGTTATTATCTGATATGAAAGATGGAAAAATGGAAGCAAATATACTTATATACAGGATGCGATGTAAATTGTCTAAATTACATAAAAATGCAAATAACACTGACATCTCATTTTAACAGATACTAAAATTACACAAAAATATCTTGAAATACTAAAGTAAATATATTCAGTAAAGTCGCCATTGGCTTCAACTAACAGACTCAAAATGATTTCGGAATCTCCTGCAACTATTCTGGACGGTCTCCTTTTTAAGTTGGTGAATGTTTCCATAATCCTTGGTGTTGCAAGGAGTTTTGTTGGACTCTCGCTCAAATGCACCCCATATATAATAATCAAGGTGTTGCAGTCTAGGGAGTTAGGTGACCAGATATAAGAAGTGATGTGGTTACAGAAATTGTCTTACAGCCATTACTGGGTTCTCCTGCTTGTGTGGTATGGTGTAGAATCCTGTTGCCAGATATAGTCTCTTCCAGCAGGCACACTCTTGATCCAGGGAAGCATTACCTGCTCAAGGCACTTGATGTAGGCCACAGTGTTGAGTCTGAAGCCCTCCAAACATCATGCTGTTGACTGGATATATCATCCAACTCTTTCCGAATCCTCTGCACTGTCCAGAGATTGGCACCCAGACACTCTGAAATGTTCGTATTGGAGCTTCCGGCGCGAATGCCAAGCAGAACAGACGGTCCCCAACTGATCCTACTATACAGTCGACAAAATCAAAAACAAACAAGGCACATGCGCGAAATTAAAAATATAAAATGGCGACAACTTTCACATCGCACCCTGTAGATATGTGTATGTGTGCCTGTGTAAACTACAAAATATAGCAAATTTTAAAGGTTCCTTTTTAAAATGTACGTAAAATATTTACTCGATGATTTATTTTATTTCAGAAGTCTCAGATCATGCTGATATATATATATATATATATATATATATATATATATATATATATATATATATGTGTGTGTGTGTGTGTGTGTGTGTGTGTGTGTGTGTGTGTTGTGTGTGTGTGTGTAAAAAATATAGCTTATAGTATGTTATATCTATGGGTTAAAAATGTTCCATATCAAGGATAGAGTGTATGTAAATATAAAAGTGGACATTGAGGTCAACGCCCAGCTTCGACAATCTGTTTCATGCTTAAACGCAATCTTTAGATCATGTGTGTTGGTATGGTATGGATAGAAGACTCGACAATTTATACATGCTGGTTAATGGTGCATTATGAGTAAAAGGTTTATTGTATTATCCTAATGGCTATGTTTCAAATTATTCCAGAGACTATTGAGTAGAAATAATTGTGGATCCGAATGTAGTTATTTGTAGCATATTTTATTGTGCTATTTGTTACCTTTTTATTCATTATTTAATATTGATTACTTTATTATCTGTTGTTGATTGTTATTAGTGCCTTTGCGTGTGTTTATGTGTGCATTCGTAGTTTGTTAAATCTGGGTTTTTTTTTTACTTAATTTGTTTGCTTATTTATTGATTTAGATTCTAAGTTCTGATCATTTATTTAGCAATTTGTGTTTAGTCTGGGAAGTTAATTCTAATTATGTATATGAATAAAGATAAAAGGAAAACTATCTTAGCCGACGCTTTCGTCCTCTAATGGAGGCAAATGTAAGGATTTTATTTTGCATCAAGTACACAGCAGCAGCAGCAGCGAGTCCTGGACAACTTACGACAGTTAAACACCTTTCACCTCCTCTCCTGACTGGCGTAAGTTGTCCAGGACTCGCGCTGCTGTACAGAAGGGTGCTGAGGACGCAAGCCCGGTAGACTTGTAGTTGGGTGTTCTCCGTCAGCTGGCTGTTGTTCCAGACGCGCTTGTTTAGCTTGGCCATGACTGCGGCGGCTTCCCCTATCCTGGAGCTGATCTCGGTGTCCAGGGAGAGGGAGCTGGAAATGATCGACCCGAGGTAGGTGAAAGAGTCCACCATCTCGAGGTGCGTGCCGTTGATGGCAACGTCCGGGGAGGAGGCGGTGTCTTGTGCCAGGATGTTGGTCTTTTGAGGCTGATGGTCAAGCCGAATTCCTTGCAGGCGTGGGCCAGGCGGCTGACTAATTCTTGCAGACCGTCCTCCATGTGGGACGTTGCGCAGCGTCGTCGTCAAACAGCATCTCATGAATGAGGACCTCACAGACCTTGGTCCTAGCGCGCAGTCGGGCGATGTTGTAGAGTTTGTCGTCTGCTCTAGTGGGGATGTAGATGCCCTCCGTGCAGTTGCAAAAGGAGTACTGGAGAAGCATGAAGAAGAAGGTCCCAAAGAGTGTCGGCACGAGGATCCACCTGCTTTACGCCGTCAGGGAAGGCGTCAGATGCTCCGCCGTTGTAGTAGACAAAGGCGATATACAGTGGTTTCTGTTGCTCACAGCACTTCTACAGCTGGCGCAGCGAGATCATATCCACTGTAGATAGGCCCGCCCTGAAACCACACTGCGACTCGGGGTACACACGAGAAGCGAGGTTCTGCAAACGTGGCAAGACGAGGCGGGCAAAGCCTTTCCCGACGACGCTGAGGAGGGAAATGCCGTGGTAGTTATTGCAGTTGCTGCGGTCACCTTTAGTCTTATAGAGGGTGACAATTTTGGCTATCTCGCATGTCCCGGGGGACGTGGCCCTTCTCCCAGCACAGGTACAGGAGCTCGTGGAGATGCCGCAACAGAGCTGGCTTGCCACTCTTCAGAACCTCCAATGGGATCCCGTCCATCCCAGGGGCCCTCCCGCAGGAGAGACAGTCGATGGCTTTTCTTCTGCAGAGGGCGGGGCATCCAACTCCTCTATGACTGGAAGACTGGGCAAGGCATCCAGGGCGGCATCCGTCACCACGTTATGGGTTGCATGAAGCTCCAGGTAGTGCTCCACCCAGCGCTCCAGCTGCTTTCCCTGGTCTGTAATGACCTCTCCATTCCCTGGACTTCAGCGGAGCCGTCTTGATGGGAGTGAGGCCAGTGGCGGTTTTGATGCCGGTGTACATACCTCTTGAGTTTCCACTATCGGCAGCCGTCTGGATCCTGCTGCACAGGTTCAGCTAGTAGTCGTTGGCGCAGCGACGTGCAGTCTGTTGGGCCTTGCTGCGAGCAGCTCTGAGGGCATCGCGGGTACTGACGCAAGGGTTTTGCTTGGAGGCCAGAAGTTCTTGTCTCTTGGCTTCAGAGGCTGGCTGCATCTCATCCCAGTGAACTTCGTACCAGTCCGCATTTCGACGATCCTTCTTCCCGAACACAGTAAGGGCTGAGGTGTATATGGCATGATGGAGGTGGTGCCATCTACTGTCGATGTCAGTGGCACTGAAGGAGGATGTGTCGACCTTCGCGCTAAAGGTGGTTTGGAAGCGGCGAGAGCTCTCAGGGTCATTGGAGCGACAGATGTTGATGTGAGGGAGGCCTTTTGCAACGGTGTATTTTCTTGGCTGTCAGTCTCACTTTGCAGCCTATTAGGGAGTGGTCCGTGCCGTAGTCTGCGCTGTGGAAGCTCCGAGTATGAAGAACGCATCTTAGGTCTGCACGCCTGGTGATGACAAGGTCGAGCTGGTGCCAGTGTCGAGAACGGGGGTGTCTCCAAGAGACTTTGTGGCGTTCTTTGCACTTGAAGGTGTTCGTCACGCACGTCCATTTTTATTCATCTTGCCTCTGCCCTGACGACCGAGGCAGGAGGGCCAAATGTCACAGTCGGCTCCCCACTCTAGCATTGAAGTCTCCTAGTAGGTATAATCCTTCAGTATTGGGGTTCCCACTCTAGCATTGAAGTCTCCTAGTAGGTATAATCCTTCGGTATTGGGGTTCCCACTCTAGCATTGAAGTCTCCTAGTAGGTATAATCCTTCGGTATTGGGGTTCCCACTCTAGCATTGAAGTCTCCTAGTAGGTATAATCCTTCGGTATTGGGGTTCCCACTCTAGCATTGAAGTCTCCTAGTAGGTATAATCCTTCGGTATTGGGGTTCCCACTCTAGCATTGAAGTCTCCTAGTAGGTATAATCCTTCGGTATTGGGGTTCCCACTCTAGCATTGAAGTCTCCTAGTAGGTATAATCCTTCGGTATTGGGGTTCCCACTCTAGCATTGAAGTCTCCTAGTAGGTATAATCCTTCGGTATTGGGGTTCCCACTCTAGCATTGAAGTCTCCTAGTAGGTATAATCCTTCAGTATTGGGGTTCCCACACTAGCATTGAAGTCTCCTAGTATGTATAATCCTTCAGTATTGGGGTTCCCACTCTAGCATTGAAGTCTCCTTCAGTATTGGGATTCCTGGATATCGTCTCATCCAATGCCTCATAGAACTGGTCCCTTACCTCTGGGGTAACTGTCACTTCCCGTGTTGTGCCGATGTCTTGCAACGTCGCTGGAGTGTCCTCTCCAGTGCGCTACGAGAACTATGTATGGAGAACTAGGGCTGCTCGGACGTCTAGTTCCCACTCTCGGCCTTGCTAGCAGAACGCAAAGGAGAGGATAAACCAATACAGTTTGGTACCAGCACGGTTGCAGGAGTTGTCGGAAGGTAGCACAGAGTGCCATTAATCCGCCTTAGGGGGTCCACTCCGGATTTGTGTAGGGTTTAATTCTTGGCCTTTTCTTCTCCCAAAGATTTCCACATGCAGTGGAGCTATTTAACCCATAGCTGGGGTTTGGTTCATGGGCACCAGGGTATGTCCACACACCGGTGGGCCTGCATGCCGCATGTTAAGTGGGCCAAACTGCTCCCCCGTCCCCTGTAGTTTAGCCCGCTTCCGCAAGGTTCTCGGTTGCCATGTGTCGCCACGAGGAGGCACTACATAGGGCTTGCTGATGGAGAGGCTATATACTAGCAGGGAAAGACTTACTCGGCTCCCCTTTTCGCATTTCTGATAGCCAGCGGCAGTAACTGAAAGCGAGAAGCGACAAGCACTACCACTACAGACTAGACGCATCACAACAGCCGTTGAGACACACACGGAAAAATACCTCATAAATAAAGCTGATGTTTAATCCTTTGGTCTGTTTGAGGGAGTAGGTCAGCCCGAAAACATTTCCACACTCTGCTGTATATATAATATTATAATAATATATTAATATAATTAATTTTCTTGGAAATTGGCATACAACTTTTAAATAATATTGGGTGTATCTTGTGAAAATTTATTCATTTGTAACAATATATCCAAAACACTATCTAATTTATCCATTTATAACTATATATCCTAAACACTATCCGATAGTGATAAACTTTCTCTTGTTTATTTATAATCAATATATTTAAAAGTAAAAATTCGGTGTTTGTAATATTGCCTCCGATTTCAAAGCTGAATGTTCCTTCTTTCAGATCTTATGGAAATGGTTGGGTTACGTTCTGCTCTTCACTGGTAGTAATTGGATTCTTAACTGCATTTGTTGAACAGGTAAGAGACACCAGGTAAAATGTGAATTTATATAACCAGTCTTAATGAAGAAGAACAATGGTGGCTAAACACGATGAAAACCCTTTAAATCAAGTCTTCTATGATACGTTAGAGTGTATCCTCACCCAATTTCTTCTGGGTAGGTAGGATTTTACAAGACAGCAATAGAAAAGCATAACATACATATGATTATTCTCATCTTCCAACCATATAATTATGATGATATATAGATACTAACGCGAAATTCATGAAAATCTACTTCCATATTTAACGCCAGAATATGCCATAATGGAAACAGAACAAGAGGTAGGAAAAATTATACGTTATTCTAGAATCAGATCGAACGATAATGAAAGGGGAAAACAACAGCTAAAGAAAAAAAGATTTCTGGTTTAGAATTAAATTACTGATCTGAAATTGAATTAGGAATTTAAAGAAACGATAGTGTAGAATATTGGTTAGCTTGCAAGTTGGTCTGACACACAAGTAGACTGATGTAGCCACCAAGTTAAACAATATTTATTTCTGTAAAAAATACAGAAAATGTGGCACAAGGCCAAAAAGGGGGTGAGGAAAAAGACGGTCATCATCTGTCTTAATTTTAAAACTTAGCTAGACACAACCACTGACCCTATCATACAAAACAATATTCCTATCACCAAAACAACACATTCATACTTACCTTACTTACTACATCCACCAAAACACCTCATTGTCTCAATGAAATTCCTAAATAGTCCCCATATGTACAATCGTTGTCCGTGGGATGAGCGGAAGTTGAAAACAAGTTAAAAAATCCCCAAAGATTATATACAATATGTTTATAAACTATTTACATGTAACAAAGCAAAATCATGTTAGTAATAAAGCTCCACACAACCTTAAATGTGGCAAAAATATCAGTATCACTAGACGAAATCGATGCGGGACTATAAAAGTACAAAAAAAACATTCAACCATCCCAAGCACTCACACAGACACGCACTCATTCTGACAAAAACAAATACGAAAAACACACACGCGAAACGAAAAACGCCCCGCATCCACCAGAGAACTGACATCACTGACCACCTAACGATGGAGGGGAAGGGGAGGTAAACTAAAAAAAAATAGGGACATAAATAAAAGGGGCCAATGAGCAAATACACCGTAGCTAAGTTTACTGGAAAAGAAAAGAAAAAACTAAAGAATCGTAAAAACCAAAAAACTAAACTATCCTAATTTCAGAGATGGGTTATCCAAGTTCAAACCAGGAAAACAATATTCTGGTGCCTAACCGGCATCAAAATGCCACTCCAGGTCAGCTCCTTTTACTCGCCACAAACGCGCAAAATTCACCCACCTTTTGCCAAATTCTGATGAGGTGAGCCGCCGCCTTTCCGTCCTAATCTTGACTTTAAGCTGGTGCTTAAAGAACAAGATCATTTGGGAAGAAGAAACTCGCCATCATAGAATCCCTTCTGACACGTCGTCCAAATCACGACTCTCATAACACCTAGCAAGCAAAAGAACACATATTGTTCAGCCTTCGTCTTCTGTGGTACCACATTGCTACAAACAGAACTGGCCTCAAGGACAAAGAATTTTCCCTGCAGCATGCGGACCATGAGGCCTTCAACAAACTTGCACAACGGCACTACCACCCTACAATGAAAGATTTTCGCCCTCCCCTTCAAGAAAAGATTCCTCCGAGACCATAAATTAATTGCAATTTCAGCCTTTCCTTGTACCTCCGGTCAATTCATTTCCAACTGGATATCAGGACCGAACCAGACGCCGAGTATCATGACTGGCCCGTCCGTCCAGAGGAAAGATCCGGGAAGAGAAACTCCCTTCGACACACCCAACTGCAAGCCAACAGACTTATCGCGGTTGATCATGGCCCCTGTGACCATCTCATATCCACTGATCTCTTTGCTGACTTCGCCAATCTCGGATCTGCTCGACACAAGAACCGAAACGTCATCAGCATAGCCAGAATACCTGGCCGAGGTGGTAGCCCCAAGCAGGGAAATTCCGCGCAGGACCGGATTCGCCTTTAACTTGCGAAGGGAAGGTTCCAACGCAAGAACGTAAAGTAAAGGCGAAAGCGGACAACCTTGACGAATGGAGCGAGACAATACGAAAGGCTCCAATCTTAACCCATTCACTTCCACCAGCGCACCGGGGGTCGCGTATAAAAGTCGGATCCAGGAGTGAAAGTCGGCTCCGAAACCGGCTGCCGAGAGGACAGCCTCCAGAAACCGATGGTCAACCCTATCGAAGGCCTTGGACTGATCTAAATTGATCAGCGCGGCTTCACTGTCGACTTGTTCTAAGATCAAGCGTACCATATGCAGGTTATCCTGAATAGTCCTGCCCTTCAAAGCACAAGTCTGTTCGGAGCCAATCAAACTAGACAGGACAAGCTGCAAATGGTCGGCTAAGATCTTCGCCAAAATCTTTAACATGGTTAAAGGGGGAAAGTTATCTAACCCATCCCCACCGTTTTTGTCCTTACGCAGCAACTTGATCACACCCCTGGTGAAGCGTTGACCCCTGCTTCATCCAGTTGTTGAAAATC